CGGTGGGGTTTTTTAAAGATTTAAGATTTTTTTGGTAATAAAATGGGTCAGTGTGCTTCCAGACTGAAACTCTAAATTCTTACATCTGTGCTATTTTTAAAAATTTTATATGTAATTATTTAATGTGAAAGATTTTCGCAAGTATTATTAGCATTCCTTTTTCCCTGTGTGAGGGAAGAGAGCCAACTAGGCAGTCACAAGAGGTACACAGAGAATAAAAACGTTGTTGCCATCTCGCAGTCAATTGAGTCTGCTCCTCAGCTCGCTGAATGTGTGTGTGGTTGTGCACGGTGGGTGTGTGTGTGAGTAGAGTGTGTGCGAATGTCAGTGCACTTTGCATGTGAGCAAATAGCAAGTCCCCAACTGGTCAGGGTTTAGTTTTCTTGTTTGTCCTGCCTCGTGTGGCGTGTGTGTTGGATGTTGCATGTCCTCGTGTCCTCGGTGCCTTGAGTAATGTTGTTTAGCCGCCTCCAAGCGAGCTGATCTGATGGCATTGCCTTTGCCTTTCCCTTTGGTTTTGCCCCTGCTGCAACTGCTTTTGTTGTTGCAATGGATGCTGCATGCAACGAGCATCGCTTGTTGTTGTTCGAGTGTAAGCGTTGCTTGATTTATGGGCCAGCAAACTTCACTCGACATAATCTTGGGCAATTTTCTTGAATATGACTCCCCGGTGACATTGCCGGCCGAACCGAATTGAATTCTAATTTTGCTCGGGGGTGCCAACGAGGTCAACCCCTGTCTTTTTCCCAGTCTCTCGGCTGTCCTGTCTGTCTGTCCTGTCTGGCTGTCGTCCTGCCTCGGATGGCAAATAAACGCTTATTTGCACACTAATTGCACCTGCGACGTGCTTTGTTATTATAAAATGCCATATTTACACAAGCGGGCACGCTGTGCAGCCTGTTTTGCCCTCCCCTCCCCTCTCCGGTTTTTGTTTTCGCTATTGTCACAATATTTGCCGTTGTCATTGCGCTCCCGCTTGTTAGTGCTCTGAAAAGCCTTTTCGGCTCCTGCTGAATAAATTTTTCAAAAGTCTTCGGAGCCAACGTGGCGTATGATTAACCATGCGGATGTCTCTGCCGCTGTTTCTGCTTTTGCTTCTGCTTCTGTTGCTGCTTCTGCGGTTGCTGCGTGCTCGTGGCTTAATTATGCGCAAGGTTAGCTAGTCTTTGCAGCGGATGTTCTGGCCACATGTGCATATCCTTGACCCAGGATGCGTACTCGCCGAGCAGCTACTGTTGCTGCTGCTACAGCTAAATTATGGTCATTAAAAAGCTTTCAGCTCGTGTATATTTCCAATGACATTAAAACATGGAGTCGAAAGCAGCACTCCAAATGAGTCTGACCTCTGGCCTTTACCCCTTTGCAAATGGGAATCAAACATGAGTGAGTTTAAGGAAATAAAAACTGTTTATTGCATGCAATAAATTTATTCATGGTTGGTTAACTGGATAATCGCAAGGAACTAACAAGAATTCTCCAACTATCAATAAAATAAAGTTATGTAGCATCAGTATGCATCTTCAGGCTTTTCTGTACAAAAACCAAAGATAATTTAATTTACTTTATTTAAAAGCTAATCTACATGATTCTTTATTTGCAGTATAAATTATGAAGACCCTTAATTTGGATTTAATTGGACCTTTAAATTGATTTGTCTGCATTTATCTTATTGAGAGAATGTTTTTAAGATATATTTATCTTATGTGAAAGTTTCGTTTAAAGCTGAAACTGTTGCTCAAGTGGATGTCTTTAAAACTATTATTTATTTATTTATGGTAATACTTGCCAAAGTCTTAACGACAACTTTACCAATCTTTTCAATAAGTTTGCATTGCCCGATTTAAGCTCGAGGAAAAGCCTTGACTGGTGACCTCTTTTCGGCATAGCCTACTTCACTGCGCTATCTGGTTGGCAATTAGGCAAAGTTTGGCTTTGCAGCTAGCTAAAATATTTAAACAGCTTCGGCCGAGAGTGGAGTTGCGTTAACCTTCGGGGAATTACGTGTGTCCAAATGGAATGAAAATAGAATGTCCAAGTACCGGCAACTGGGAATCGAAGGGGTTTAGGACTTGTGCTTTTAGCTTTGCTCGCAGCAACGGCAGCTGCTGCATTTCAAGTAGGGAAAAAAGCGCAATGGCACAGGGCGCCCTGGATTCTGGATCCCTGGAAAACGAACGGAGCCCCGCCCACCGCCTTCGTGTCCGAGAAACGGGGCCTTTGTAATATGCGCTCAGCTCGCTGCGAACTTTTGTCAACTCGAAATCAAAGGGGACGGCCCAGGAAGTTGAAAAGTTTCGAGTTTACTGCTGAAGTTACTAGCAGAAAAAACCATTAAAGGCTCACGTAGTCAAAGTCAAAAGACAAATTTGCATTGAAACGTTTTTCGTTCGTTTTCCCGTATTTTTCGGCTTGAAGGTGTAGCAAATTCGAATAGCGAAATGGTGAAATGCGAATTGCAAAATGCGAATTGCAAAATGCGAATTGCGAAATGGGAAAGAAAAGCCCGCTTAAAGCATTGCGAGCAATTTTCTGGTTTTGTTTGTCGCGCATTCAGCCGAAATTGTTTGCACTTAGCTGCGTTTGCTTTGAGCGCACAATTAAAATGCAATTTAGCAGAGCAACGAGCACACAAAGGCGCAAACAATGGAGTCGACGAATGCAAAAGCGCTTGCCGAGCAGCAAATTCGACACCTGGTCCGAGGAGCTGTGAAAAATAAGCGCAAATCCCCAGTAAATGGCGCATTTAATAGGGATTTTAGCTGCGAATCCAATTTGTTGCCATTCCGGCTTGCCTTGATTTTGAAACGGGTTGCTTAACGCATTTTGGCCCCTTTTTCGATAAACAACCCGATTCCAGACAGTCGTGAGAACACGACATGCCTTCGATTTGCATTGAGGTGTGAAATTATCGCTGCCAGGCGCTCGTTTAACCCACATATGGCAAATTCGGTTGGGGCGAACCAAAAAATCAATTAATTGCAGTACACACATATCCTTGGGGCTTTTGGTGCCGACAGCCACCCGGCATTGTCATTCGAGCAATCAATTCTGGCTATTTTCTTTTCGTTTTTAATTCAGCATGTCCACATGTTGCTGTTATAGCTGCGTTTGCTTTTGTTTCGCCAATATTCGAGGCCGGGATGTTGCAGTGTTTTTGTCACGTGCTCCAGCCGCTTGCAGCATGTAAATTGAGCTGCCGCACTTTGTTTATTTGTTTTGCAGCACGTGTGACTGCGGCAATTGTTTATGATATGTCCGTGCCCGAAAAAACGCGTGGCAGATGGCTTAACTTCAATTCGCAAGTTTTTTAATATTTCGATTGGTGTACATGAAAGAGAGAATTTTTCAATGCATTTTTTAAAATGTTAAAACATTTTTAAATTTAAATAATTATTTCTTGAAAATCGATTTAAAAGAGGAAGCGGCGGATGTTTACATTAAAAAACATTTCCTAAAGAATAAATTTTTGAACAAAAATTTGTTGGACTTTGCATTTTTATGTGTAGCTTGTTTTTGCTCGTATGTCTCGTGACATTTTTTCAAGACGAGTTTTTTTCCAAAAATATTGTAAACAAATAGTAGCAATTATTTCGAGCCAACGAGGCGTATTCGTTACGTATAGTTTATGGATCAAGCAGAGCCGATAAGGCCAGCTGCTTACCTCTGTTAATTGCACTGCTTGCCGCTGTTAGCTTTCATCGACACCCACTATGTCCAAAATACCCTGTTAATACCTATAAGTATCCATATAAACGCCGCTCGGCTAATTAGTGGCTATACGTAAATCATATCAAGCGAATATCTTAGGATAATAAAAGAAACCACTTTTATCTGGATATTTATGCAAGCTGTTTGTTTTCGCAAGCATTTCACAAACAATTCTCACTTGACAATGAAAATAGATGACATTAGTTAAGGCGTAAGCCACAAAATTGTCGTGCTCGATTCCTTGATGTTAATTTCTGTGGTGAGCTGCATGCTAATTTGTTTTTGGCACCAACTTGTTTACTGCATTGTGGTTATTTGCTTAAATATAAGGCTTGACTAAAAATATACTAAGACAGGTAATGTTAGTTCATAAAATAGTGGTGAGTAAACATGAATAAATTAATAAAATCCTTCCACAGCCAATAGCAAAATGTCTTTAACCCACTCTATTTAAGCAATTAAATCAATTATGTTTACTAATGCGTTGACAGCGACAAAAACAGCTAATTAATTCTACGTGGTAATTAAATTAGCAAGGTAATGTGTTTAAAAATAACTTTTTTAACATGATTTACTAATTATCAAAAGTAAATTATTATTTATCTGTGTTTATTAAAAGAGATCTCACGCCCACTTTTATGTATATTTGCTTACGATTATTGAACTAAATAATTTCCAAAATTCCTTATTGGTAAACCAAATTAAATTGTTATTAAATTTATTATTATATTATCACCGCACAAGCCATGGCTTAACAATATCCGACTATTTAACTACACCCATTGGCGAACCTAAATTTAAACATAATTTTCTATTTATGTTATTTAAAAAAGCCATGCGAAGGCACTTATTTTCACTTGTTCCCTTTGAGCTAAAAGTAGCTACCGAATTGCCCGCAAATCTGGCAAATTCAATTAAGCAACACATGCGTATTGCTCGCTGGCCGCTCAAATTGCCGGACAATTTATCTTTACAAGCGCCACATATTCTGGCTAATCAAACGATAAGCTTTATTCCGATCACTATCAGCACCGCGGCGGTCTAATCACGCCAAGGTTCCTGCCTCTTTCTCTCGGTTTTTTTCTCCGATTTTATTACCTGGCAGTGCCAGTGCCTCAATTGAAGTTAACTGAACGACGAGCGATGAACGATGCACGATGATGAGTGGTATGGAAATCCCGGCTCCCGCTCCCGAAAAACTCAGCTGCCTTGATCGAGCTGCTGCCGCTGCTGCTGCTGCCGAGTTAAGCTGCTGAGCCAAATGACGCTGGAGGGTTCAGTCCGCTGCCAGCCACCGACGACTTCACACCTGCCCACGCCCACAAATCGCGGCAAGCAGTGCAGTCGAACGGATCGATCGAGACCAGAGCGAGCAAGCAGTTGGGATTCCTGTTTTAACTTTCAATCGGTGCGTTTTGACTTTTACTCTCGTTTCTTGCCCCAAAAAAAGTTTGTGCCGCAGTTTGCCAAAGTGTCTTCAATTTTTACAAAGTGTTTTCGTGCGTACATATGTGCTGCTGTTTATTGAACTTGCTATTTGCTCAACTGCCTTCGGTGAAGTTTTAATTAAAGACGTTTTGCCGCCTTTTTTTTACCGGAATGCAGCTGTTGCAAAGTTTTTCTTGCCAATTGCAAGTGTTTTCAGACAAATTAAATGACAGTTGAATCATTTAAATAATTTAATCAACATTTTTGGATAGTAACATTAGTGTTTTCTTCAATTATACTTCCTATAGACTTATACTACATTTAAGATTTTTTGATGTAAATCAAAAAATGTAGGAGGCTTAATTTTGTATTCGAAGATGGCCATTTTTGTATAACCTGTTATTTACCGACAAAACTGCCATACTTTTCACTAAGGTAAACATTTAGAAATGATATTTTACCGGACTCCCGTTGAGTTGCAGCTGTTGTGCAGCAAACTTGTTTTTTGTAAATCGAAAGTCTTTTTATACGGTTTTTTATAGTATTTACAAAACTGAAATTGCGAGCTCCTAATCACATGTCATGACTCTTTCTAAATCGAGCCATTTTTAAGCAAAAAGTACATATACTTTGCAAAGCTGCTACTTATCAGAGGCAACGGGTTTCTTATGGAGCTGTCGAAAAGGTTTGCTGTATGCGAACATCCGAGGCAGGAATTTATTACACCCAAAATGGCACTCCATAAAACAAAAATCTCAGCATGTATTCTTGATATTCTTCGTCTGAAAAATAAAATGCAGATAACCATGTGCCAGTAAAAGCCCAAAACCAAGCTATATATATCATTTTACGGTCGCTAATCTAGAAGCATAAACAAAGGTTGAAAGTAAAACCGTCAGAAATAAGTCCATTAAATATCAATTAGCTTTTTAACCCGTCAAGCCAATTGTTTTATGACACTCTTGGTGGAAAGGTTTGATAATATGGAAAACTTTTGGTACTTTTTTCCTTTGGTTTATAGCAGCTGATTGTGCGGTAGCTGTCATAAACGTATAATCACAATCTGCTTGTAAGCAAGTAACTTTGTTCATTCACTTAAAAAAACATACGTTTCTTATCAGTATTTTTAGTTTTAGTTTAAAAATATCGTAAAATCTTTTAACTTTTATTTAGACTATTTCAATCTTAATTTTTATTACACTCATATCTAGCACAGACACCTAGATAACACATTCATTTTAAAATGTTTTTTTCATACATTCAAAAGTGTTTTTTTTTGTCTCACCCTTTTGATCCAAGTTAAAGCATCACAGAATCCGATTTTATAAGGTTTAGTAGTAGTTTTTTAAAGTGTAGCGAGTACTTTCACTGATTGCAGGGATTCAACACGTGCGTGCTGCGCTGCGATAGCTTCAATTCAAAATGACATTCAAAAGCAGCGCGTGTTGGCATTGCCGAAAATTCGTGCAATTTGCAAATCAAGGCGAATCAACTCGCCAGACTTGGCTCACTTACGCCACAATTATTTGATTATGACATCCAGAGTGAGAGTGAGGTTCTATGCGGGATTTCGCGTGCCACAATTGGCGAACCATTTGCTTAATGGGCTAAATGGATAATTGAGTTAAGATGCGTTCCCGCGGCGGATGCCCAGCATCAGACTTCTATTCTATTCCCGTCTCAAATCTCGCATCTTTGTCGTATTATGTTTCCGCATTAGAGGGCCACAAATTGCTTAGCAAAATGTTTGCTCTTCGCTCAGTGTCAATGGCAATTACACGACCGTTGGCACGCAACAAATCTCCCCGCTATATATAGTATATAAAGTCAGGGCGCTACACGAGATCTAACAAATCGCGGAATTATAACGCGCTTTTGTGTGGGGGAGCCTCATCATCGACTCGTTGGGTCAATCAGCTTCAATTCGAGTTTAATGAATCGCCAGCACGCACACGAGTTGCCAAGACTCACAATTGCCGCATTGTATAAACAAATTAAATGTTTTTCAGGCTCACGTTGATCGGCTGGCAAAATGACCGACCTGGAGGCTCCCAAGAACGGCAAGCACCTGGAGCAGGTGCACCATAACAAGTGAGTACTTTCTGCAAGGCAGTATAGCTACTTCTAATCGGTTCCGCATTACTCAAGAGTCTAAGAAATTAGACTAAGCCCAACAGTTCATATAAGCAGGTGTGTTTCGGTAACTAAAAGTTCAACCGAACTTAAATAGAAATCTGTTCAGTAGCTCATTTAAAAAAATATGAGAGCATTTATTTTTCAGAAAATTATTTACCCAAATAATAAATGTTTTTTATAACCGGAAATGTAACCAAACTTGATTAGAAATTAATATGATTTGTTTTGATTTACTTTGTCTTAATAAGACAAAATAAATTTAAATAAATAAAAACATTTAACAATTTTTTTTTATAATTTACAATCTTAACAAATAAATAACAGAACCTTCCATAGAATTTTGATTTGTTTATAAGTCTACAATTTGCTTGTTATCTGCTTAATTATTTTAAATATGACAAATGTTTATTTTCGCATAGCCCACTGTTTGCATATACACAGTTGGCGAAGTAAATAGACTTTTCGGGCCCCAGTGGCGATATGGGTTGAATAAACCAGTCGATAACACAACTCGAAAACTGGTTCCCGTTCCAGACGCAAAAAAAAGCGGACCTAGTTTACCGAAACCGTCTGCAGCAAATGCTTGCTAGCCGAAAGGGAAAGTAACCCTGCCGGCTACTCATTTGCATGGGTATCACCTTAGCAGCACCTCCGAAGAACCCTGCTGGCCAATAAACCATTTAATAAACAATTTAATAATCTTTGCAGCAATGAAATCACGGAGAGTGAGCCACTCACCTGGCGCTTCTGGCGCAAACAGCGCTACATTGTGGTTCTATTGGCCTTCTTCGGGTTCTTCAACGTCTACTCATTGCGGGTGAACCTTTCGGTGGCCATTGTGGCCATGACCGAGAACCGCACGGTAATAGATGGCGATGGGAACGTGTCCTACGAGCAGGACTTCCCCTGGGACTCCAAGCAGAAGGGCCTCATCCTGAGCTCCTTCTTCTACGGCTACATCCTTACTCAGTTCCTGGGCGGCTACATTGGCACCAAGATCGGTGGCAACATTGTGAGTAACTATTATAGTTTTAACTATTATATGTTTTTTATTTATCTCGATCTCAATATTATTTAACAAGCAATGTGAACAATGAACAAACTATCGATCATATATCATTGTGTTAACAACGAGTTAGCAAGTAGTAATAAAACATATTGTTTTTAAACGGCACTTGATAATCAAGAGTGTGAATATTTGTACATCTTATATCTTATCTTATATCTTATCATTTAACATCAACTTAAACTACATAGTGTTGATGTATTAAACTAAACTTTTACTATTCAAAAACTAGTTCGTTTTACAATATTGCAGATTGGAAGATTTAATAACTCAACTAATTATTTTTTTTTAACAAATGTATCCAATAAATAACTATATATAATTATTCTTTATAAAATAAATCTTGATGCTAATCTTTCGTTGTTAATTTTTTTCACCATAGTATTAAAATAAATATTTTTTTTCCTTCCTAATTAGGTTTTCGGCACTGGAATCGGCAGCACTGCCATTCTGACCCTGCTGACTCCGCTGGCCGCCAAGCACAGTTTGGAGATGTTTCTGGCCATTCGAATCATCGAGGGCTTCTTCGAGGGAGTCACCTTCCCCGGAATCCATGCGGTTTGGGCCCGCTGGTCGCCTCCATTGGAAAGATCGCGAATGGCCTCGATTGCCTTTGCGGGAAATTATGCGGGAACCGTGGTGGCGATGCCGTGCTCCGGTTTCCTGGCCACCAAATACGGCTGGGAGAGCGTATTCTACGTGTTTGGAACTATCGGTGTGATTTGGTACATCACCTGGCTCGTCTTTGTTAAAGCCGGACCCGAATTGGATCGCTTCTGCTCGAAGGAAGAGTGCGATTACATTCAAAAGACCATTGGGTATGTGGGCACCAAGCACATCAAGCACCCCTGGAAGTCCATCTTCACATCGATGGCCTTCTACGCCATCATGGCCTCTCACTTTTCGGAGAACTGGGGCTTCTACACTCTGCTCACCCAGCTACCAAGTTTCCTCAGAGGTAAGCATGCAAAACAGTACACTCAACGAACTAAAATCAGTTAAAGGTTTTTTTTTTGTTTCCAGTTTAAGTTGTTGAAAACTTTCATGTTTTGCCAGGCAATTAAAGTGAGAACGAAAAGAAAAAATTCTTAATGAGATTAATCAATAATTTAGGAATTTAACGTAAAAAAAAGGGATCCAAAGACATTTTCAAGCAAATATTTTTTTCAAATTTAATAATACTGAAAAATCTCTGAATTGATTTTAAAGAGAAACTTATTTTTGCCTGCTTTTATTCATACTACAAATAGTAGTTAAATGTATTGATTATTTTCTGGTACGAACTAAATCAGGGTTCAAGTTTTGGATAGACCTAATAGTTTGTGGCCTTTGGCAATGCACTTATCACTTTCACCCCGTGCCATTTCAGACACTCTCGACTTCGACCTGGGCAAAACGGGCATCCTGTCGGCCGTTCCCTATTTGGCCATGGGCATCCTGCTGGCCGTGTCCGGCTACTTGGCTGATTGGCTGCAGGTGAAGGGCATTTGGACGACCACTCAGGTGCGGCGCAACTTCAACTGCGGAGCGTTTTTGGCCCAGACGGTGTTCATGATGCTGACGGCCTACCTGCTGGATCCCACGTGGTCGGTGGTGAGTCTGACCATTGCCGTGGGCCTGGGAGCCTTCGCCTGGTCAGGATTTGCGTGAGTAGTAGTTCCCTGCAGGTGTAATCTTTGATGGGAGTGGTGCTCATTTCCATTTAATCATTCGCAGGGTTAATCACCTGGACATTGCGCCCCAGCACGCCAGTGTGTTGATGGGAATTGGCAACACATTCGCCACCATTCCGGGCATCGTGAGTCCTCTGCTCACCGGTTATGTGGTCACCAACCAAACGAGTGATGAGTGGCGCATCGTGTTCTTCATTTCGGCGGGCATTTACCTGATCGGCTGCGTAATCTACTGGTTCTACTGCTCCGGCGAACTGCAGGAGTGGGCCAAAACCCCAGAGCAGAAGGCCCAGGAAGCCGAGGAGAAGGCCCAACTGCAGTTGACCCAAACCGCCGGGTTTGTCAACACAGCCGCCGAATTGAAGGACTAACTTCTTCAGTTTGGCGTCATCACATCATGAATTTGTGCTTTAGTATTTGTCGTTGTTACGTTTTTGTGATGTTAGCGATATGCGCACCATTGTGTCTCTATTTATGTATGTTAATCCATTTAGTCTTTCTGAACACTCGCCACGAGTGTGTTTGCGAATAAACAAGGCATTTTATTACAAGTATTTGTTTTTGTTTTTTTTTGTGAATGATCCGCAAAGTATGCAAAGCACTGTGTTGTTAAATCATTAATGGATTTTGTTAAGGGTGTGTTGTTCAGGTACCCAAAAGTATACTCTTTCAAATACTATTATTCTGTTAAAATGCCGGAATGTTAAATGATTATGCTTCTATTTTTGTTTCTTGCTGTTATCGTAACAGCTAATTACGATTATTAATTTTAAGTAAACATATTTTTCAGGTAAGGTGTATGAAATCCAATTAAAAAACTTTTATGGAATGGTTGATTATAATTATCTCTCAAATTAAAGCGTACAACTGTTTTGTTTAATGAACTCGTAAGACTCACGCTGAGTTTTAAACTCATGTTCAACTGTTTTAAAGCACCATTGGCTTGCTGACCTATTTTTAACCGCTGAAGCTTTCAAAAGGCTTGTAGGCAATAAATATACATTTATGGGTTAGCTTCAGGCAGTTAAACTTAACGTAAATATTTGTACGGGAAAAGGTTAAGCCACTAAACGAGAGAGTATTCAATTGAAGTGTATGAATATGATTGAAAATAAAAATAACTGTTTATTTTTATCTGAAACTTCCGTGCTGGTTTGTCCCCAATATTTTATACATTTTATTGTGTGCTTCTGGGCTGACAATTGCGTCATCATACCCGGCGTATACGCAACGCGGCCAGCTGATAAGGCGATGGGAAGTTCGTGTGCAGCGAGTTGGCGAGCAATCGCGTGCGCAAAAAAATTGCCTAGCCAATCGTCTGATAAATTGCGTAGCACTCGCCCCCAGGCTTGCACACGACGTGATAAGACGGGTCAAACAAACAAATTTGTTTTCGATCTGTGCAATTTTGCACTCGTTCGTATTCGAGTTCAAGTTGGTATATAAGGAGGGTAAATCGTTGGAATAGCCAACAAGCAAACAAGTGAAATTCAGTTCGTCTTAGCCAAGTGAAAGTCAGAGATACTATACCTACAAAATGGTTTGCAAGGGATGTGGAACAAGTAAGTGATGCAAAACAGAAGCGAACCAAATAATTGACAAGCGTTCTCCGTTCCCAACAGACTGCCAGTGCTCGGCCCAGAAGTGCGGCGGCAACTGCGCCTGCTATAAGGATTGCCAGTGCGTCTGCAAGAACGGACCCAAGGACCAGTGTTGCAGCAACAAATGAACGAGCCAACTTACTACATAACTTCCAAACTAACGCTTAACTCCCACTGAGTTGGACGCAATAAATAAAGTTTATGAAGATTTCGGGCATTTAAAAGTTTCCGCTGTTCGTCTTTTTCGTCTTGGGCGGTCGGACATTTGACAATCCGATAATTATATTTTCGGCATTTGGCAGCCAAAACCAATTATGGTGAAATAATAAACGTGAACTGGCGTTTCAGTTAGCCAAACCGCAAAATAAAATTACATGGCAACATAAACAAATCCAACGCAATGCGACAAATTGGGCGGTATTGCAAATATTTGTGCACTCGCTGACATCTGCACCGGCATTAAAATCCAATCCATCAACGGTCATTCCGATGAAAAGCGAATGGAAAGTTCGTTGAATTGTTGCCTAAGCGAAATATAAACAGAAATAACATTCAATTTGCCTTTCCATCGAGCCGAAACCAAATTATTTAGCCGTTTCAATTTGCGACTGGACTCGGCTGCGAAATGGATTCTATTCGAATAATATAGCTGGGCATAAAATAATTTTTAGGCAAGAGACGGAAAATTCGTTTCCAATGTTATTGCGTTCCAAAAATATCTAGCTCTCCTGGTAGAAAATTTCTGTAGCGCAGGCAAAACTTTAATGGTGTGCCAACGAAATTGATATGTATCTGGATCGGCTAAATAATAGCCCACCTGCCCAGGGATATTTATTTATTAGTTAGCCTCGCGCCACTTCGCGCTGAAATGTTTAAAGAGCGGTTGAGCACTCCATTCGAGTGGTTAGGCCTGAGCTTTTCCAGCTGTCAAAACCAAATGACCAATTAAAATACAGGCACTTGCGGACAATTTCAAGCGTCCGTTTCCGGTGCTTGAGCTGTCAAAATATTTATGAAACAACAGTGGTTCAGATCCATTAGCATAATCACGGGTGCGTGATTGAGGCGTTTCTCTGAGGGCTTTGTTGCGTGCCGAGCTCGTTTTGCTTCGATTTGCTTTGTTCCTGCCGGAAGTGAGTAGCAATCTTCTGGCAAATCAGGTGTGAATAATGTGACAAGAAAACGCTCTTAAACTTGGACTAGTTGGTATACTTTACTGGACAAATCAACAGATATAAAAAGAAATAATAACCAAAAATGTTTTAAAGCACATGCAAAGTGCAATATAAAACAAAATTGAATAAAAAATTGTTGGCATGAAATGTTGCATTTGATTACCTATAACAAAGCAAAAGAAGAGCGGCATTTATACAGGTATTTTTGGACACACAAGCTTAAAATTTCTATCAAATAATATATGGTTTTACATAATCAATACGCTACAGCTTGTATTTTATTTTCATTCCATAATATTTAGCTGAAGAAGGCCGGATGAATACTAGAATAAGCATATATTTGTTAAGAAAAGGCTTAAAATAAAAATGGAAAGAATTTTTAGGTAGTAGTAGTATTTTAGGAGGTTTTTTTTAAGTTTTCCAATACATAAAATCACTAGCAATAAAAATAAAATCCTTTTGGTGACAACTCTTTCACTTTTCAATATACTAAGATTTATTGGGGTTTCGGTATGCACTAAGGTTTCCTGTCAAAGCTGAAATAAAAATATTGGTAAGAGCTGGTGCGATTATTTGAATACTTTCCGTAAAATATTTGCTTATATTTTGGGTGTTTTGGAAACCAGAGCCATGGGTCCAAGGAAGCGCATTTCGATTATCGCCTCGAGAACTGTACCACCAGTGGTTCAGAATAATGAGAGCAAAAACTGCCGTACGGTTGGCACCCAAACTGAATTCCGTTCCATTAGTCAGCCCAAGCGCAAGAAGGTTAAAGTCCAGGCGAAGGATATTTCTCAGGCAGTTCCTCAGCCTGGTCCAAACTGCCAGTCTGGTCCAATTTCCGAGGCATTTCTCCAGCCTTGCCCGAATGAGAAGACCTGCCAGACGGATGGCAGCGGAGCTGTGGAGCCAGCCGATCGAGTGGTCACCCCAAAGACCGGCAATCGGCAGATGAGCTACCTGAAGAACTTGGTGAACAACAGGCGCGAGGAGGCCAACGAGTCCGATCGGAAGCGCTTGGCCTCGTTGCTGGAGACGATTAACGAGGATCCACCGCCACCATGGCACGTGGCCTCCCAGATGTGGCTGGAGGTGGACCGACTGGAGAACCGCATAGAGGCCTACGAGGAGAGTGAGAGAGAGGCAAAGAAAATGAAGATGGACCAGGAGCAGGATCAGGGACCGAGCCAGGGAAATGACAAGGAGAAGGAGCTGGAACAGGGGAAAGACCAGCGGAAGGAAAACTAAAAAGTCAGGTCACAGGTCAAGGGTTAGGAGCGTGGTGGTCTTCCAGTCACCAGCTATCAAGAATCTAGAAAACCGAGACTGAACACATTTTTTATACAACCAAATGATTTATGGAGAATTTTTTTAACCACTTAAATATCAATTCCCATATTTAACAAGATTTGTTGTCCAACATGTTCGAATGCTAATGACTTTTCAAATGTTTCTCAATACAACGCATTTATTTAATATGTTAATATAAAATATTTCCTCGACCACATTTTTGGTTTCCCTTAGTTTGGTTTCACCTAATTTGAATACGTTGAAATTCGTTATGAAAATGTTATTCAACGCATATTGAAATGTTTTTAAGTCAAAATACAGATGGGTAATATAACTTTTTATATTATATCAGTAATGGAACTGAACCTTTCCTATATAAGAACTTTTAAATTTCTTAAACATTTAAGTTAGTAAAGGTACAGAAATACGTATGACGGATTTTGGTCAGGACCATGGAGGCAAAAAATCAGTTTCCGTTTTTTAATGTAAGTTCGTTGTAATATTTACTTGAGTTGCTGAACGAATATTTTTTTACATTTCAAATAATTCTTAAGCTCTTGATTTTCAGACGTATACAAGTTGCATTGAATTAAGTGTCACATACATACAAAATACTTCTTAAAATTGCTAACAGACTTCCACTAAAAACACAAAATGGAGCTGGAGAAGATTGAGGATGGACTACAGGATTCTGTTAACCTATTGGAGCCAGGTAATGCAAAAGTCGGAGTTAATCTGGAATCCATTTTATCATATTTATTTCAGGAAATAAAACCAAGTCTGTCGGAGCAGTTAAAATAATATTAATGGTGCTATTGTTAAATTTTTGCTTGATCGTGGGAACTATTCCCTTTTATATATATATGACCACTATTAACGAAGTTACCAAAGAACGATTTTTGGACTTTATTCTTGTCGGTGGATCACTCATTTCCATTCCACTACTTTACAGCTTGGGGGTAAGTACTTATACTATTTTTAAAGTATATTGTTATTGATTTCCTTAATTTTTTGCAGGATCTGTCCAAGAACAGACCTAACTTCTACTACATTTAAGAGTTATGTTCTTCTATCAGTTCCACATCAATTTATTTACAAATCCTAAATTCAAATTGAGATCACACTATCCCTGCCGCCAAACTCATATCGACTTGATCGTCTAATACATAATTATAATACATCATAATACAAAACTTTAAAATAAATTCCGTGCTTGAAGTCTCATATAAATTTAGTGTAAGGAATCACTTTATAAAACGGGGAAGATGTCTGTAAGGAGAGCTAACTTGTTGTCCTACAACAACCGGCGCGTTGCCCGATGGTATTTTGGGGGCGTGGCCAGTTCGTTTGCCGCCCTGGTCACTCATCCACTGGACTTGATGAAGGTGCTCATCCAGACGCAGGCGGAGAAGCTATCGCTCTTTCAGACCTCAAAGAAGATTGTTCGCGAGCAGGGCGTTTTGGCCATGTACAGTGGCATCTCGGCCTCGATGTTGCGCCAATATACCTACACGCTGGCCCGCTTTGGCATTTATACGGCCGGATCGGAAATTATCGATACAAGCACCATGACTAGCAAAACGCTTCTGGCGGCAGCTGCTGGAGGAATCGGCGGTTATGTGGGTGCTCCTGCTGATCTCATCAATGTCCGCCTGCAGAACGATGTCAAGTTGCCTCCGGAAAACAGACGCAAGTAGGATTCTTCTTTTCTAAGTATACACTCCGGACAAAATTTTCTAATTGTTTTGTGGCATAATTGCCAAATCATTTTATTAAAAAGATATCGTTGAACATCATCCAATCCCTATTTAACAACATAAAACGGAATAGTAAATAAAAGAAACTTTAAAAAATATCTCTACCTTAAAAGAACAAACTCTTCCAATTTACTGGAAAGAATTTACTGATAAATATGTTAAAATTCATAATTTAAATATATAGATTATAATCAAGGAACTCAATATAATCTTGCTGCCAAATAACAATCTTAAAGGCTGGAGCTTTGGGCACCTTGAAATACAGCTAAAATTTTTTTTAATTTGTTTAAAAGCAAGATCTTGAAACATATACCTTGAACTTAAGCTTTGCCATTAACCCTTAACCTTTGTTATTTTTTTTATATATTTTAATTAAGGTTAGTTCCTTTAAATCAAATGACTCAACACGTTGCATAAAATATTTCTCTGTTAGAAATATGCACTTGCTTTAAATACGGTTCGGTGCAACATTATGGTTAAATTAGAACTTAGTGGTTTAAAGCTGTTTAGAATATATTTGATATTTTTCTTCTCAGCTACAAGCACGCCATCGACGGACTCGTAAGGATCACCCGCGAGGAGGGATGGCGCAGTCTGTTCAACGGCTCCTCGATGACCGCAATACGGGGAATGCTGATGACTGTGGGCCAGATCGCCTTTTACGAGCAGAGCAAGAACAACCTGGTGAAGCTGGGCATGCCGGAGAATATGAGCACCTACATCGTAGCATCAGTCATCTCGGCCACGGTGGCCACTTCCTTAACACAACCGATCGATGTGGTGAAGACGCGGCGGATGAACGCTGCACCCGGGGAATATTCCTCACTCACAGATGTTTTTTTTAAGACTTCAAAGGAGGGCCCACTGGCCTTTTTTAAGGGCTATGTTCCAGCCTTAACGCGTCTATTGCCGCATACTGTTTTGCTGTTCCTAGGCCTCGAGTTCCTTAGGACCCATTTCGGTTATTTGCCAGAGCCAAAAAAAACGGGTCCTTACTATCGCTACAGCGACGACGATCAATAAAATTTCTTGTGTGTGTAAATAAAAATTTATAAATTTTATACTCTTGCAGAGTATATATATTCTAGATCATTATCAACATCTGTCTACCATCTGTAAAATAGTTTCTCAGTTTAAAAGTTATCTGGATTAAGCTTTTCCAAAGTTGTGTAGTTATGGCGCACTGTGTAAAAGTAGGAACGGACAGTATCGGAAGTCTATATCGAATTGGGAGGTCGAACAAATAACGAAAACAAAATTATTACGCCGTTGCCTGTTATCATATTAACATGATTTTTTGCAAACGGTGCTTATGACTTTTGAATTTCAAATGAAATTTCAAGAAACTGACATCACCAAATCACTTTCCGTTAATTAACCTTTTGTATTTAAATAGTTACGAACAAAGTAATAGTAATAGTAAGAGATGTATGACAATTTAAATTTTTTTTCCAAGTATTGCGAAACAAGGCCTTGTGGGAGGTTTTTTTTTTTAATCCTAAAGAAAAACTGTAGTTTGCTTGCTTCTATAGCAACTATGTTATATACAGGGCCGGAGAAACAGTTTTGAGTGGGGTGATGACCTCACAAATTTTCAATATCCCCCCCCCGCCCCTTTTGTTTCAAAATCATTCCAAATCATGATGAGGGAAACACTGTTGACATAATATAGGTAAGTATAAATTTTAATAAAACAACAACACCAATCAATCAAAATGCAACAGGTAAAAAAAACTATTTTAAATGTAAAATGTTAATTAAAATCCATTTATTATTAATGTAATGTTAATTTAATGTTAAAATAATGTTAATTTAATATAATGTAAATGTAATGTTAACTAAATGTTAATTAAATTAATATGGCCACGTCAGCGACAATGATAATTAATTATTTTTTTCGTTTTCTCGCACCTATAATTCCCAAGTGGTTCTGGCTGATTCGTAGTGGGATACCCCTTGATTTTGGCCAATTTCTCAGTTCTCCGGGATGACCGGCAGTTTCTCTAAGAAACTTTTTCCGGTCTCTGGAAGTGTGTGTGTGTGCGTGTGTGTTAGTGACGTGGTTCCAGAGTGGGAGAGAGTATCTGGCCAACTCCTCCTACTGGAGTCCACTCCCGGATGCAGTGCATCATGGGTCGACTCCTCCTACTGGAGTCCACTCCCGGATGCAGTGCACCATGGGTCGACTCCTCCTACTGGAATCCACTCCCGGATGCAGTGCATCTTGGGTCGACTCCACCTACTGGAGTCCACTCCCGGATGCAGTGCACCATGGGTCGACTCCTCCTAGGATGCACTGCATCATGACCTGACTTGGCATGAACTTAAAGGTGCCCGATCCCTTCCTGCATGTAGTGGACTCCAGGATGCAGGGCATCCAAACCTGAAAAGGTGAGTTGCAGTTTTTTTTAATTATGTGATGACGTGGCTTTTGTAAAAAAAATGCAGTTAATTAATTCAATTTTTTTTATATTTTTTTTTTCAGGTTTTTGGTTGTGTATTTGGCTGATTGCAGAAAATAATTGGTGACACCATCCAACTTGTAACTTGAAGTTCGACATCAGGATGCACTGCACCAAAGTTATTACGCAGTGAGTACATCCTTTAGACAATAAATAATTAAGTTATATATTTTAAAAAATCATAAATATTTTGACAAAGAAACTAAAAGAAACAGATAAAGATCTGAAAGTTTTCAAGAACATGAAAGAAATTTGAAAGGTAAATTTTATCAAATATTGAACTTGAAGTACATGAAAATCAAACACAATTAATAATTGTAAACAAGTAGCGACATATAATATATATATATGTAGTATATATATAGTAATAGTTGTAAGAATGCGGTTACCGGAAATATATAGTATGCTGACACCACATAAATGGACTGGACAACAGGCTGCAGGATCAATTATGAATGGCGTGATCTTCTATTGAACTCCACTCCAGGATGCAGTGCATCACCTCATTGGGGTGTGTATTTTTTAAACAACCGATTTGTATAAAATAATTTAACTAATATTTTGGAATGCTTCTTTTCATTACAGGTGATGACTATACCTTTCTACTTGGAGTGTACTTCAAGATGCAGTGAATCAATAACCCAAAGAGGTAAATACCTTTTTTACTAATACCTTTTTTACTAACAAATTTATTCTAACTATTATTATTTGTTACAAATTATTTATTATTATTTTTTTTTCTTATTTAATTTCAGGGTAAAGTGTAAAGTGTACATGTTGCGGATAAAGTGGTTGCAGTGGTTATCTTATTGAACTCCACTCCAGGATGCAGTGCATCACCTCATTGGGGTGTGTATTTTTTAAACAACCGATTTGTATAAAATAATTTAACTAATATTTTGGAATGCTTCTTTTCATTACAGTGATGACTATTCCGTTCTGCTTGGAGTGAACTTCAAGATGCAGTGAATAAAAAACCCAAAGAGGTAAATACCTTTTTTACTAACAAAATAATTCTAACTATTATTATTTGTAACAAATTATTTATTATTATTTTTTTTCTTATTTAATTTCAGGGTAAAGTGTTAAGTGTTAATGTTGCGAATAAAGTGGTTGCGGTGATTATCTTACTTCAAGAAGACGAAAGATTGCAGTGCAGATCAAGGAGCTAACTGAGTAAGTACCAATCTGAAAAGATTTATTTATGATAATCTCATAATTATTTAAGTAGTTTTTACATTAAGTTGGAAAATGCTTAACTTGGGAAGTATTTGGGAGAGTTACTATCTATCTATTTAAATAGAAACTGATTTAATTGGGCGGTGGTAAAGTCGGGATTTCTCTTCGTTTTTCTTCGATATACTCTATATGCAGGGCCGGAGAAACAGTTTTGAATCATACATTCAACTGATAACAATGGATGTAAATAAATTTTTTCTACAAGTCAAGCATTTTTGAATTCCACACCCGCTAAGATTTGGCGTGTGAAGTGCCCAACACCCGGTATACACCTTCCGCCGGCCCTGGTTATATACATGAAATTAATAGAAAACTTTATTTATTTTAAACATAAAACTGAGTTTTGAAAGTCATTATAAAAAAAATTAATGCGAAAATTCGCAACTTATGTTTTATACATATTATATTTAATTTAAGGTTAATATAGTCGTGGAATAGCTGACTTTTTAAACAGGTATGTGTGATGAATCTTGTTGTTCTCTATGTTTCTCATTAAGCTGCAAGAGTTTATAAGCTTCGGTTTGATGAAACAGTATTCATTTTGTTTTGAACTTGGGTAAAGCTATTTTGAACTTCAGATTTGTTTAGCCTGGAACTGTTTCTCTTCACCTATTGAGACCTAATCAGTTTACGTAGTGCTAATAATCGCCAGAGATTCTACGTGTAAATATAATGGCATGTTCTTTGTTTGCTAACGAAATTAAATCTCGAATTTGCAATTTGCATTTTCCTTTTTGGGTAAACTTTTTCCAGCTTTTATTTCGCTTTCACGATTCGCTTCTTTTTATTTTGGCCCCGTTTTGTTTGGCCTGGCATGCTGAATGAATGCTTTATGAGGTGAGGTACTCCATTACCCAGATGAATGCTTTAATGGCCTTTAAAGCTAATGAAGCTGCCGTGCGCCAGTGGAACTGGGAGTTTCAGCAAGGAAGTCATAATGCGAGCGCACAGGGCTGATGTCGTGTAATCGCATTAAAGCCATTAACAGGCTACACAGAAAATGGGAAAACTAGAAGGGAGAGTAAATGGGAAAAGCGAGAGCAGGAATCCCAGTGTGGAGACAGGTTGTGTTGACACGGGAAAACAATCATACGCCCGGTGTGCCGGACAAGAGTCAAGGTGAAGTGCCATTCCAGCTTTCATCGAAGCCATCGTCTATGCAATATTAATGCCGGCCAACGTGCTTTCGAAGTTCTAATCCGTGTTTAAGTTCGGCCAAGAATGTGAGGTAACTTTTCAGCTCTTTTTCAACCAGCTGCTCCAGGCAGTTGCCGCTGCAAAGTTAATTACATTTCACAAACATTAAAAATTCAATGCGTCCCCAAGCTTCTCAGAATAACCTTCTCATGTGAGTGGCTGCGGAAATTATAACGAATAATAATTATGGAAAGGAATTTAATTTGGCCGAGCAACTCGTATGCGGTGTGCTCAATAGCCGTTAATACGTGTGTGTTTGTGTGCACATTAAAGCTGAATGTTGATGGCCAAATTGAATTTAATCGGAAACTCTCGGGTTGCATAACCATTGCGGTGTCAATCGCTCTGTGGAAATAATTGCATGGTTTGGAAAGGATTTAACGGAATGCCTTTTGGTAGTTAATAAACATTTAAATGGCGTCTGTGGTGAAATAATTGTTTTTAAACATGAACGGTTTCAATATCAATTGTCATTTACACTGGTTCTAATTTCATAAGAAATAAATTGAAATAAATTGTAAAAATTGTTTATATCGATTAAGCAGAACACAACAATATATTTCTAAGACGTATCTGGTTAAGTATTTATGAAGCAGTTTTTCTTGGCAATCAACATCAAAAAGCCTTTCTTGGCATATTTACTATTTTGAAAGATAATAAAATTATGCTTTAAAACAGGAGTTGTTAAATCAACTGTTTCCTTGTTCTTTTAGTCAAAACACCGACTTCAAACTTTATGACACCGCTTTGATGCCCGACCAAAGTACATACTAAAAGTGCCATTTGGTTGCGCAAAATTTATGCAAATTTCCCATGTTCCTGCGTAGCATCCAGTCGGCAGGACATTCAGGCCGAAACAAGAGTCAAAACAGCGGCAATAACGACCACAACGACAAATGCATAAATCAGTTTTAATGCAAATTTCGTTACATTCCATGTTGTCGTCTCAATAAGCAGCCATTAATATGCTGCGCCTGCTGCATAAATTGTGTGATTTTTGCGGTTTTGCTTAATTGTACGCATTGTCGCAAGGACAACGGCCAATCCGAGTCCTGTGCAATTATTCATGGGATGGTCAAGGACACCAGCTACCAGTTGCCGCACAATTGTGGTTGGTGTTGCGTAGCAGTTTTGCGTGGAATTTACTCGGGTGCAGTCAAAAAAATGATTCGTTTTGATATTATGATTATCTTTCAACAAAAACATATATTATAACAACAAATTAAGGAATTCGAGATAAAATGCATGTTATTAACATATCAAAATGCAAAAAAAAGGGATGATAGTTCTTGACAAAAACCTTTATTGTTGTTAAAATCAATGATTTTGATTTAAAACAGGTTGATAACTTTTTCCTAGTGCATTTATGACGGAATCGCGTCGCAGCAAGGCGTTCGCAATTGCCGGCCATTTAAATGCAGGCCAATAAATTCCAGCACAATTTGAAGTGGCGCTTTGTCTGGGCTTTCTACCCGGCATTATCCGCTTTATGCACGGAAGTCCATTTATATTGCCAACCGGCGACGGCCGAGACACAAATGAAGTGGAGTTCCCGGCACGAAACACGCAGTGGAGCCTTTAAATACCTTCGTGAACGGCTCCATTTCCCCCAGATGCCAGAATGCAATAAACTTCTAAATCAGTCGATTAAGCTGCGAACTGCAAATGCCCCCAAAAGCATACGATACATACCCGGATTCTATAGTGTGTGCGTGCCAGAGTGCGGCTACGAAAAGTTTTTGAAAAATGTCGAGCAATTAAAATAAGTAGCGTGAATCTCGAGGGAGTGAACTGCCATTGCAAGTTGGTTTTGCCCCGGTTCGCTTTGTTATCTTTCGTGTGGATTTGGCTGTCAGCAAAGTACGCAGCGAACCAGAGGGCTAAAACAGCAGAGTGGCAGGGGGCAGTCGGTGGATTAAACAGTACATTCTGGACCAGTTAATTTAATTTAATTTTAGGGAGACGAACTTCGAGTGAACTCACAGGTGATTTAGAACAAGGGGAACGATGTAAAATACACAATATTTACCCCCAATCTAAGATGAATTATTAAAGGTTTACTTATAAACATCAATGTTCTAGGTTACCAAAGATTTCTAGAGAAGGCTTTGTACATGTGTACATAAATGTATTTATACGGTTTGAATCCCCCTCGTATTGTAGCAATTCCATTTCCTGCTATATTTACACATAATTGGTGATTTTCCTGATGCAGGTCTGTCAAAAGTAATAAAAAGGATGCTGGTTGTTGGTTGAGTGGAAGATGTAGTCGGTGAGATACTTCTATCCATAGTGGATGTTGGTAGAAGGTCGATATTGTGATTATTTTTGGACTGTATTTCAACAAATAGAAAAAGATTTAGTTTAATGTTCCAATACTTAATACTTTTTGAAAAAGTGTACTTTTCTTTAATTTAAAATTTAAAAACATTGATAATTTAGTAAATGTTATTAATCCAAAGAAACGAATATAAATATTGTACCATATAAGTACATATGTATAAGAAATAGTTAGATAAAATGAAAGGAAGCAGTTGCGGCAGCAACCATCGACTTAGATACCGTCCACTCCGATATCATCTTCTCCGATGTCCTCTACTCCGATTCTGACCACTCTGATACCGTCTACTCCGATACCGTCTACTCCGATATCGTCTACTCCGATACCGACGTACTTGGGTGCGAGACCAAAGCTCTAACAAGGTAAGTATGTACAAAATTTAACATTTTTCTTAACTCATTAAACTAAAAAATTTTTTTATTTAACTTGTTTAATTCCAGGTTTTTGCTGTGTGTCCCTATAAAGTGATATAAGCGGATTCCTTCTAGTGAACTTCTTTCCAGGCTGCTGTGCATCATCACCTTACATGGTATGTAAGTATATTTTTAGGAGTTAAAGATCAGTGTTTAATATCTTACTTAATTAATTTGTTTGTTTGTTGTAATGGTCGCTTTAACTTGCATTCTTATAGTTTTGGAAAGAAAAATGATTGGTAAGATGGAAATGTACCTTTTAAATTAAGGGAGTTAGTGGAACATGTGAACTGAAAGCGTTTTCTTTAAATGTTTGAAATCTGTTATCCATTTAAAAAACAAAAAAGGAAAAAACGGACGATTAGAAATTCAAAGCACATGCGATGTTATTTGGCATCTGTCTGGCGAAGATTTGTTGGCCATTTGAATGCTCGCCACATTCACAGGAGCAGGAAGCATAACAGTTTATCTTTATAATTAGATCTCATCGTCTCTATCTTGGCCAAAGTAGTGCACAATGGCAAAAACCACTCCGGGAGCCATTTGCTTCGCTGAGGGGTCATGCTGTCTGGTTACACGTACTCCACTCCGGCGGCCAAAAGCGAATCCGAACCCAAACCCAGAGGCAAACTGAAAACCCAGCGAGAACCGAACCGGGAATCGCGAAACTTGGCTCATTAAAGATTAAGACGCATTAACACAAATGGTGTGAGGGACTAGCAATTTAAGCGCCATCAGCATAAATATTTATGCAAATTGGGATTACAAGTATTTTGTAGGTATTCTGTAGGTCCGCCTTGCGGAAACTTCTTTGCTCTGCGGCTTCAATGGCTGCAGAGAATGCCCGAAATTGAAATTTAATTAGAATTAAAGCCATGTGTTTCGATTACTTGAGAGCTCCTTAAAGCTCTGCCTTTTCGGTTACCATCGACCTTGTTTCTTTTAGCCGCACTTGCAGCTTTGCTGCATCTTTGAGTTTTCCCTCTCTGTTTCGATTTTCCCGCTGGCTGGCTTACTGCAGCTGCTCTTTGTTTCGCCACGGTAGTTTGCATTTCCCGCACTCAAGGCCACCGGCCCAGCGAATAAAAAAAAATAACACGAATGGACTGGCCAAACAAATGTATGCGGTATAATTTATGCTGCCACGGAGCGAAGCCAACTTCCAGCTCATAAAATGTCGAGGTAAGTTGAGTTGAACGGCCAAGGCTGCCAGGATTTAGATAAATGAAATGCATAAAGATTTCGCTCTGGGCATCCGAGGTCAACTGCCATGCATCCATTTCCAACTGGATGGCCATAAAAGGTCGCAGATTTTGGGGGCTCCATGACAACCAAAAAAATATCAATTTGAAGTGGCTATCCGCTGGTGATATATGCGTTTCATATTTAAATTCTTTGGTGAAAAAAACGTGACACCCGAAAAATATGAATATGGATAACTTTTAATAAAAATACAATATGCTCTTTTAATTTGCTTTTCGAACTGGATAAAAATTTAAAGTATTATTAAAGAAATAAAACTATACTAGTTTAGGAGAATGAAATCTCTTTTCTTTTCCTAGAATTATTCCCGCGAATAAAAGCATTTAAAATCTTTTCGCACTGTTATGCTGTCCACCAGCAGATTAGCTCCCTTATCGCCTTTCGGTCCTAGCTGAGCTCATCAATATGCATTGAATTTGAATTGAGTGGGAAAACTTGTCGGGTGCTTTGATGTCTGTCGAATGCTTATTGGCAACATTGTTTCCTAATGCAATTAGCCGCACTTATGCGCAATTTCGGTTGGCCCTCTCCCCGCAGTCGCATCGTAGACATGGCAATTTCGCAGCTGCTTGTTTGTTGAAATTTCATTACTTTGTGTAAACAAAGTGCACGTGCTTGAATCCTCCCATCCTCCTGAAGTACTCTCTCCTTGAGCGTGGCGCATGCGCGGATAAACTCGAAAGAGTTCTCGTTCATGAGACATGACATTAAATCATTCTACGTTTGCCTGTGCTTCATTCAATTATCAAAAATAATTTAAAATAATTTTATATGCCGCAGCCACACACCCAGACAACCAGCTATATGGATATAGACTAACTCACTTTTCCCGGCTGGTCACGTCGTAATCAGCAAAAGGTTTCGCCTAGTTGCGGCTGTAAACTCGACTACGTGACTTCCATGACCGATGAGCCGAAAAGCGTTCGCATAAATACAAAAACTCCTAATTTATGTAGTTTGCGTTTTGGATTTATTGCCTTTACTATTCGGCTGTTGTATATCATTTATCTGTGGCGGGAAATGGATACGGATGGCCCTTTAAGCGTTTAACAACCTGCCCTTAAAGCCCTTTCTGGCTCACATGGCGTATGAGCAATGTGCTTGAGCAGCATTTAATGCGTGTGCCAATTTAGCGGTTTGAAGTGGCACTCAACTCGAGTGCAACTGCTTGACTTCTGGAGGATGCGACTAGTGGCCGAAAAGAATCACCGAGCTGCACCCGGTTGTTTCGTCGACTAATTAAGCAAATTACCACGGCTAATGGAACAGAAATAAGTCGGAGGCCTTGACACGTTTTTGCACTGGGACCCGAATCGATCTACGGGGAGCTCTAAAGCTGCGACATGTCGAGGCGTATTCCCAACACATTGGAGTCACACCTTTTTTTTTTCTGAGAGGGGCCCGCATGAACAATCTCATAATCAGCATAATTTTCCTGTAAATACAAGACAACAAACAGCCGAAAGTCAGAGGCACTTGACTCGCAACCACTCGCAACTGAGATTCTTGGCCAAAGGCAAGACAAGATTTTTGGGGGCCCCTCTAATGCTGGCAGCGCAGATAATGCACTGAGATAATTATCTGGCCACTTGCCGCTCATCCTGCCAATGCCAATTCCATTTCCACTCTCGTTTTCGCTTTCGCCATCGCCGTCGCCGTCGACGCTTTATGCCCCTCGACTGCTGTTGGCAAGTTGGGCCCTAGAGACCAGTTGGCCAAGAATAATGTCGGCCGTGTTATTATCTTCGCCCGGGCGGTGGGCGTGGTCGGCGAGTGTCATAAATAAAATGGCAACTATGTGGAGCTCCGATTCTCCCCACCCCCCACCAACTTAAGCACCGTTATTAGGCAAATACATGTAAGGATATGGCGGTTATTTCTTGGAGCGCCCGCTGCCCATTTTGGTTTTATTACCGCTGCTCAAATTTGATTTCGTTTGCACTAATTGCTGGCAGTGTAGAAATATGGGCAGCCATTAATCACAGATACAACTCCTGACATGCCACCGGCTAAAAGGCAAACAAGTGCGGCCGTGTGTGCATTGTGTATGAAGCCAATTGCCGAAGGGCTGCGTATTTTATTGCCTCTTTGGCTGTACTCCGTGTAAACAATTATAGTTACACAAAATAATATTTGCCGACTCGAGGCTGTTTAATCAAGGTGAGGTGGGCCGATACGCGGGCATTTGTAGGTATATCATATCACTTACCAATTTGTTGTCTATATAACATAACCCATTTCCTCCAATCGAGCCGCCGCGTCATTCTCATTTGCGCACACAAATGAATCGCAGGAATGTCAAAAAATTCATTAGGCCAGCGATAAATAATAAATGGGTTCCTGCTTGCCGCTCATGTGCCTTAATGGCTAAGCAGCGTTTTATTTGCACATTAAAAAGTCAAGCACAGCTAGGGGAAATAGAAAAGCAATTTTCATGGGTTCAATGAATGAGTGCGAAGATTTTATACTCTAATTTTAATCATCAAAAGTTTATTATCTTCTAAATTGTATAGACAGAAAAAGATTTAATAAATATTAAAACTGCTTAATAATAACAAATTTCGTTGACCTTATTTGTATACACAACATATTAATATTATGAAATTAACATAATCATAAGGTTTTTAAGTATGATAATATATCTTTTGTATAATTTGATTGTTGTATTTAATCCTGAATAGCACAAATGATACAATCAGAAGACCACCTCCTGTGTTTCTTCACACGGGCTCGACTTAATGTAAGCTCATAAATATCCCATAAAGTGACTGACTCGCAGAAAGGCCCACAAAATCCGGGGCCAAAACATTCAGGCAAACTAGCATTATTCTTTATTGTTGGGAGGGATAGTACAAGTCATGCGGCCAAACGTTTTCATGCTCGGCTTTTTTGGCCGCGTTGTGGATTCCGGGAACTGTTTGTCATGCCAGAGTCAATTTACTCCATTCAAAGACACTTTATTGGTAACTCGACAAATGCAAACGGCGCAAAGGATGTGCATGTCCTGCGGGCCAGGGAGAGCCAAAAGTTTGCATGTCATTGGAGCCGCACTTCATTTCATCGCCCGGCATCCTCTTGCCTTTTTTTTTGGCCATTTTTCCCCCTTTTGTGGGCCACCAAGGTGTGAAACAATGTGTCAGGCTGTCGGGCAAAAGCGGAAAAGGAGAAAATTATTTGCACTCTCAGGAATCGGAACACTGTTTCTGCAGCTATTTTCGGGGCTGGGAAAATTTAATGCACTCCCACTGTGTTGGGGCAGATTTGTTTTGCTTACCCCGAAACGTAATGTGCTCTACAGCATGTTGAAAACTTTCAGCTGAAAAGTGTGCCACACAACTATTTGGATGCGTGTGTGTGTGTGTGTGTGTCTGTGTTATGAGCTAATGCACCAAGGAATTCACTCAGCTACATTTTCATATGCTCAATTATTTAATACTCCAGACGAACAACAGCTTCACTTGCAGGCCCAACTGCTCGTCCAACTTTATCTGTTCTTGTTTATCCGAGGGAAAACAAAGTTAAATTGTTCGTTCTTTAATGGCTTTAATGTGGCGCCGCATGATGGCGGTATGGGGCTCGATGGGCGGTGGGTGATGGGCGTGGCCTGGTGGAGTACTAGCAATTATAATGCCGGCTGTATCGCCTTTGAACAGCTCGTTGTCTGTCATAGACACGCCATCGATTGCAGCCGTTCTGGCCGGGCCAACTTTCTGCCCCATTTCACTCCTATTGCCTCTAAGCACTTGGAAAACAAATTACGTAAAGAGCCATATTTAAAAACTACATATTTATATAAACGTCGATCATACCATTATAACTGCATTTGTCAATAAATACTTATAAAAAGTAATGCTTTAATTATAAAATAAATAAGTTTTATGGGCACAAACAAATCAAAATCATTCAGCGTTGAAATAGTTAACACTATGTATAGTAGTGTTAGGAAAATTGAAATGAAATTATTATTTTATGATAAAACTTCAAAAACATTTAATTATAAATGCAAGCAATTATGCAAGAATGATTTAGCATCCCATATTTCTTTTCTAAATAACCATTATTATTTCCT